AGAAACTGCTTCGGGTTCAGAGGCCTAAAGGTAGAACGTAAGAATTCATGACTCACCAAAGAGCTGGGAGTCTCACAGTCAGGTAATCCAGCTGCTTCTGTGGGTCTGAGTGAAACATGGAGTACATATGCAGCATATATTTTGATAATTATTCACAATAAATACAGTGAGATTACAGAAAAGTCCAAACTGAACACTCACTTGTGGCTCTTCATCTGGTGGATAAATCCCAGCAGAACTCCGGCGACGCTGATGACTATCAACACAGCGATCGAAGAAATTGAAACATACGCTTTCGTGGAAGTGCTCACCTCTTTCTCCCCTAAAACATAAATAAGAAATAAACTGTCAGAAAAACAGACAGAAATGAAGTGATGAACACGACCATGACTATAAAAGCTCAGCTGTCAAAAGAACGATAATATTCCACGAACTGAGGCGCCACAAAAATCCTGCAAAATACAAATAATCACTCTAGTGTTGTATGATTCAAACATATTACAATTTCTACCTTGTTTTTATGTGTTTTGGGGGCTTTTAGCAGTTTAATGAAGAATATTTATATGTAGAAAAACTATTAAATGACCTGTAAGCTCAGATAAGGGTCAAATAGATCACCAATGCTGTATTCAATATTCAACATATCTCTCATTTAACCAACAACTACACAACCAATACTTTGTGTTTCCTCTTAATGATGACTAATTGTGTCTAATTTTAGAAATATACTGACAATATGAACAATGGAGTTTCAAGTTACATCTATTAAACCCCCCAAAATAGTAAAAAAATGACAATAAAATGTTTTAAATGTAGTCATTTTGTGTCTTAAAAAAAGGAAAAAAAGGAATTCATTTTACTTATATATATTATGGTTACTCTGAATTTTAATTTGTAGCGTTATTTCTCACTGGAAATGTAAATTCACAATTTTTTATTTTTTTTTGATGTTTTAATGTTTTTCAAAAATATATTTAAATTTTAAAAAATGATGTATAATTGCAGATAGCTTTTTACAGTGTGTATGGAGATAGATTCAAACACTAAAATCAACTTAAAATTTAAATAATAAACTTTTTTTTTTGTAAATTTAAATATAAATATTCAGCTCAATAGCATGTGAACACAGATTGATAAAACCACTTTGAACTGTGCAAAGCATAAAGAAATTGACATTTTTAAGGCGGCAGGGGAACTTCTATTAAACCCGATTTACTTTAAAATTATTTTTAATTTGAGATCTGCAAATAATCAAAGCTAAGACAAATTTGTTGCTCTAAAAACTAGAAACGCACGATATATCCACGACCACATTGGAACTAATTTAGCCGACATGACAAACCGATGGTTGTCTAACTTTAGCGCCTTCGTCTCTACGTTTGATGTCGCTGTTATTCCACAGATGTTTTTACTTAAATAATCCTGGACTTGAATGTTAAATATGTTTAAATATGTTTGTTCCATAATAAAGGAGACTACGTGGTCTAATTTGGGCTTCTTTTGAATCGTTGTCTCACAGTCATTACTTATATTTATGTTTTGGTGTGAACAAACATTGAATATCCACATCGGTAATATCGGTTATCGGCGAGATCAGAAATCTTAATGTCGGCATCGGCCAGAAATTTTAACATCGTGCATCACTACTAACAACTGTATGATTTCTTTACTTAAAGTACAGGCATCATGCTCCTGCACAAACCATGACCTAGAACGTTAAGATGACCTTCAATTTAAGGAAAACAATAACACGTGGTAATGAGATAATTTAACTTGTGGCCACGAGCTAAATTATCTCATTACCACGTGTTGTTTTTTCCCCCTCTATGGCCACTCAGGGGTTCCGTAAGTAGCAGATTAAAGGAGGATTCAAATGTTCTTACCGTTCACCGTGACATTGAAACGGAAAACGTCTGTCCTTCCGTGATACGAACACTCGCAGGTGTAGATCCCGCTGTCGGCTGGAGTCAAGCTGTTCAGGTGGAGGAACACGGTCCGATTGTTGGTCACGAGCGTGAACCTGGAGTCACATCCGTTGAAAGAGTCGGCTCTGTACCTGGACAGCAGACACTCTTGTTCCCTGTTTCTCTCTGTTCTGATCTTACAAACCACCCACATGAGGCTCGTCGTCGTTTTGTTGTCGCATACCGGAGTTACGAGGGCTTCATACCCAACGGTCTTGAGTTGACGATTAGTCACTGAAAAGAATCGATTACAGTGAAAAGTGAGGCTGGTTGGCGATGAGTTAGATGTTTAAATTCACCAGAAAACATCCTCTTTTAAACAAGAAAAACATAATTACCTTGACTGCCAAAACACACAGATGTGAGCAGAAGCAGAACAAAGCCCAGCTTCCATCCGCTCATAGTGACCACAGCAGAGAACGGCGTGCTGTGCTGAGGGAAGGAGGACCGCATGCTGCTTTACACGGTCCTCTGACCACCTGAACATCTAAAAACGAGTCTCTCTTCTGAACAGGAAGTGCGTCTGGAGGAGGGTTTCAAAAGGTCAAACAGCAAGTAAAAGAGATGATGAAGACATACTGAGACTGGGATGAGAAGTTCTGCTTCTGCTATCCTCCCAAATGTCAGAAACGCTCCGAAGTAAAAAAGCTTCAGCGGAAAAGTAGACTTTTCGTTGAAGTCAGAGAGAAACTGCAGCATTGTTCTGCCACTGAAAGGACGAAGGCAAACACCTCTCTTCTCTTTTCACACTACCTAAACCTCAAAATAACGCCTTATACGTCGACGTGCTGAAGTGTTTTAGAAGGAAGTGCAGCGCTCATCCACCACACTGACTGCACAGTTTCTGACAGAATTGAGAACACCTCGGTGCCAACTCGCTTAAATGTCAAATGATTTAAAGTGGCATCATCCTGACTCCTCTTATGAACGATCAAAAACAAACACTGTAAGACTTTAGAGACTAGATTGAAAATACAGGCCTGTGATCGCTGAAACAAATCTTGAGTAGACGTGTGATTTCCAGTTACCCGAGTTGCATGAACATGGTTGTAAGGTTAGCTGTGAAGGCGATAGTTTTGGACGTATGGATCCACATGCCTGCATCGTGCAAAAAGAATCGCATTAAAATTAAAATCTTAATGTGAGACTTCACAAAGATGGGAAGGGATACAGGAAGATGATCTGAAGAGTTGCAGCAGTTGTCGGGGCGTATTGAATGATTAAATGATGCTGCAGTCCTTCTAAAATGATGGCGTGGACAGTGCAGTGCTTTGAAGAACACACATGCTAATGCTTCAGACTCAGTACAGAGGTTACTGTTGGAAATTAGGGTTTCTGTGGCAGTGCAAAGTGCCTCGATGAACAATGCTTCAGTACAAAACTGCAAGACAAGTCTTTCCTCGGAGCTTAGTCGTGGCAAGATAAAACTAAGATGCATGTGTTGGTCTTAGAGGTCCAGAGAGTTTAATGTGTGTCATCCTGACAGTGACTTTTTTTTCCTTTTTTAAAGATGACATATTTGTCAGCTTAACAACTCTAAAATCAAGTGTCAAAAAGGTACAGAATACACAGACTGATGCACTTGTCAGTAATCATTTCCTGTACTGCAGCATGCGTTCAGCCCGTCTGTCCTTGAACTCCGTGCACACACACACTGACGACAAGCAGAAAAGAGGCTGGAAATAAGACACAAGTTGTCTGAGTACCTTTTGCAAGGTGGTCTCTCTTTAAAGTCTCGTGCAGATCTCTTAGGTGCAAAGGAGGTGGGTCTGCAGCGTGACACAGATGTGGGCGAGGACAGGATGTCTGCGCAGGAAGTTCAAAGATGTTAAAATCAGGCGAAGTAAGATCTTCAGGTGACAAAGTGTGATGTTCACAAGATGTGAAATGTCCCCCGACCACTGATCATGAGAGAATTAGTTTTGTTTAAACTCAATTTATTAAACAATTGTGATAGTCTGGTTGTTCTCTTTATTTACAAGACAGTATTATTTCCGTTAAAGCATTAACTTACACTAAGAGTGACATTTATGCAAAAGCATGAAGCTGGATTTTAAATGTAATGCACTTGAATGAATGCGGTGAACAATGAGTGAAACAGTTGGTCAACTCAAGCATGTACCCCACAGAGGCACATGTTTTACAATGAAAGCTTTACAAAAGCATCCCTAAACTTACGTCACCTCTTTTCAACACATTGAAATTATTCGTTCCATAATTGTGTTTAGATAAATGAATAAATCGCATTCTCTCTCTGCACGAACACCTCGTACGGCTCAGTGTCTTCTGTTTCCTGAAAAAGAGGAAACACACAGTTTAAGAGATCTGTTAAAGAAGAAAGAACAGTGGGGCAAAACTTACAGGAGCTGCAAAAATCTTTTTACCGTGTCGGTAAAAACACTAGTTATGGACTGCTGTTGTCTTCTGCTGCGTAAACGACATAAAAACATCCATTAATTGTTATTATAAAACATATATGTTCATAAAGGTGCTCATGTATAAACAAATACACTTTTGCCTGCAAATAAACACGATGTAAATTAAAGCCATACACCTCAATGCAATGTCATTCCAATGGCAAGTTACTGAAAATTGCATCACACGGCATTATTTCTATGCTGACGAGCCGAGTCTCTACCCTTATAAACATTTGAAGACAAATACGATGTTGGGACTTCCTGAGTTTTGCATCTATGACAGAATCTGATTTTGAAGCTTGACAAAAGTGGAAAAGGACACCTGGAGATCAACTAGAAATCAGTAGAAACAAAGCTGCAGCAGAAATCAGGAGGTATAGAACAAGTTATAGTTCTACTGATCAGAGCTGCAGTGGTCGTCCTTCTAAAATGACGCCACGGACAATGAGTTATTGGGACAATCTACTTCGTATAAACAGACGGGGAAGGGTTTCACAGCTAGCTTCACTGTACAACATGAATCTAATCCACTTTGGCCATGACAGATTGCACGATGAAAGCATAAGCTGAATCGCAGCCTACGATGTGTCGACGTGAATGCTCGAGTATAAGATGTCATAAGCGTGGGCCATCTATCCATGAGAAAGAAGCTAGCATGAACGGAGCCCTCGTGGCATTTATGTGTTTGGAGAGAAATCCCAAAAAACAAAGAGGTACTAGGCTGTCTTCTTTGTCAACATCCCATGTACTTTTTCGATGCGTTTTGCCATTTTAGCTGCAAAGCATCTATTTGAGTTTAGCACCAATGTCGCGCTGATCAGTACGCCATTTCATTCTGCATTTCCATTGGTTGGTTTATTGACGTAGGTCGCAGTAGCAGTCACACTATGAGATGATCACCCCAAATTTCTGTCAGAATGTTATCGCAGGTTGTCTTTAGTTGCAAGACCATGACGACTGCCGTCCTTGAACCGGTCTCAAAGTGCGACGTAGGACCACCGATTTAAAGCCAAGACCAAAGATATCATCACGATTGTGATCTTTCATCACGGACGGCTGAAAATCCCACAATGCGTCACGGGCCTAAGATAAAATTGTTCGGCGCAAATGGGCTCCAGTATGTTTGGCATAAACCTCGGGACTACCACAGTGAATGCACAGAGGACCAACACAACCTCTCAAGCAAAGAATAGCTAAAAAACAAAAACATTTATCTGAAGCATGGCAGAACAGAATTTGGTACCATCCATGCCGAGGAGGATTGAGTACGTCATCAAAAATAAAGCTGCATGCATGGAATATTGAAAAAGAAGATTTGAGTCTTGAAAGGTTTTGCTGACCTTTGTTGCAATGACTAGGCCTAATATTTTTTCTTTTGAATTATAATCTGATGTACAAGCAAACACTTAGAACCTTAAAACACCAACAAATATTTCAATACAAATTAAAATTCAGGCTGGAAATAGCGCCATTAATACACAGTAGGT